TACAGTATCTGGGGCAGCGGGAATAGGTGTGTTGGAGTCAGTGAGACTGGCTCAGAACAGGGCAGGCTTCCAAGCCATTGTACACAGGGTTTCTATAAGTCGCAGGCCACATACCAACAACAACACACATTAAGCATTATAATTTACAGGAGTCATACCTGTACCTACAGATAATTGAGGATAGATTTTCATTCAAAATCGTTTGGAATCTGTTATGTTTTAGTCTTAGAACATTCACTTTTTTTTGTTTGTTTGTTTGTTTGGGTTTTTTTTTTTTTTTTAGCTATGGAGTAGTGAGTGATCCATACAGACAATATTTCAAAAAGATAACTAAAGACAGTGAGGAGTATGGACTGGAAGGTGGCAAGTTTTTGCCAGAAATCAGGTAAGTTCTGATGAGAACAGGAGGATGAGGAGAGCCTGGCTGAGCTGTGTGTGAGGCGGACTTGACAGGATGTGATGACTAATGTATGACAGACAGAGAGGCAGGGAGGAGGAGAATCTTCTGTGGGATTTGTCTGATCAATAAAACGGAAGATACTAACATAAAACAACAAAAGAAAAGGGGAAATATATATAAGGGGAAAACAATGACTACAATTTTGGACAGGTTGAATTCAAGGTATCTAAAAAAATCATTGTAGTACATGAAGAGAATAGGACAAGAATCTTTATCTTCAATTTCCAAAACTGCAGGCACTGGGATTCAACATGTTTATGAGTTTTATCATAAGTTCACAGAGTCAAAGAGTTGTAGTGAGAAGAGGAAAATCAAGGTAGACTTCTCCATGAAAATGAATGACATTGGTGAATAGAAGGCAGACTGTCTGTGTATGTCTCTGTTTCTTCTTTTTTTCTTTTTAATGGCAGATCAAATTATAAAAGAGACTATACTTTTTATAATGACATACTTTAACTGCTGTGAGAAAGGACAAAGGAAGGCATTTGAGTCTCAGCATGAAAGAGATGACATTGTGTTGCGAGATTAGCACACTGCAGCATGTGGAATATCTCTCTGGCAAACCCGATCTATATCGTCCCTTTTGCATCTTGAAGAGTTCTTAAAATTGCTAACTTTTTAGGACATTCACATTTTTAGACAGATGTCTAGAACAACAACTTCAGGTTTTCTATTCATACTACAGAAGACTGGAATACTAGTCACTAAACCATAACAACAATAATATACTATGATGGGTTTGGAAGCAGGAGTGGCATCCACTTACTAAACAACATGCCTCCAGAAACTCTCTGAACTTTAATAAATGTTGATAGTTATAGAGGGGCTTCAGGCCTTTTGTTCATAGGGTCGCCACGAGTCGTGCTCAACTTGAAGGCAATCAACAACAATGGTAACAACAAACCAATACTCACCAGAAGAGGGACTGATGGGAGTCAGGTAAGTGTGGTTACAGACCTGTGAACAACTGGCCCCGGGGGGGACTTCTTACTGTACCTGCTCTTACTCTCTTCTCATTCCCCCTCCGCCTATATAGCCTATAACAGTTTCTATTCCCAGTGGCTGAGAAATGTCTCAGAAAGTTGATATAAGAATGATAAGGATGAAAAAAATTCACAGGAGCAGAAAATAAGATATAAAATTTGCAGAAAAAAATATGCGCTATGATGACATATTAAAGAGCCATATATACAGTCAGTATATCTTAAAGAGATTTGGATTATTAACAACTTTAGTCTGCTTGGCTCCACGGTCAACACTCTTGGCACCAGTAGCCAGGAAATAAAAAAAACATATTGCGATGGGTAAGTCTGCTGTTAGGGACCTCTCCAGGGTACTGAAGAGCAATGGTCTTACTCTGGAGACTAAGGTGCGTCTGATACAGGCTGTGGTCTTTGGAATTACTTGTTATTCATCAGAGAGTTGGACAATGACTAAGGAAGATAGAAGGAGAATTGATGTCTTTGAGCTGTGGTGCTGCAGAAGAATATTGAATGTACCATGGACTGCCAAGAAAAAAAAACAGATTCATCCTTGAGAGGGTTAAACCAGACTGCTCCTTGGAGGCAAGGATTCTGAGGCTTCGTCTGACATACTTTGGACATGTTGTCAGGAGGGACAGGTCCTTGGGGAGGGACATCATGCTTGGGAGGGTGGAGGGACAGCTCAGAAGCGGAAGAACCTCTATGAGATGAATTGATTCAGTGACTGGGGTAAGCGGGATGGGTGTGTCAGAGGCAGTGCAAGTGGCACAGGATAGAACATTGTTTAGGGCTGTTGTACATAGGGTCACTATGAGTCACAAGGGACTCGATGGCACATAACAACAACAACAGTAACATATCTAGAAGAGAACATTTTCTTGGATAAAAAATTTGGCTAGAAGAGAGAATTGGTGAATATACTTTCTTGGTATATAATTCTTAATGGACTTTTTTGTGGTACATGGTATATTTTATATACTTCACTAACACCATAATTAATTATTTTTGTTTTATTTGTATGCCTTTGAGTTGTGGTGTTGGTGAAGAGTATCCCACAGACTGTCTAGAGAACAAATATGTCATGGAGAGAGTGGAGTCAGGGTGTGCCTTGAAGCTGAGGATGGTGAAGCTTCGTCTCACAGATTTTGAGGATGTTGTTAGGAGGGGACAGTCTTTGGAGAAAGACATCAAATTTGAAAGGTGGAGGGTCAGCAAAGAGCAGGACACCCTTCATCATGACGGACTGATACAGTAACAACATTCTACACATTAGTTCTTTTATCCTTTGTTTTATCAATATACAGACTAATTATTTTCTCTAGTTACCATTTAGGAAATCAGGGACATTTAAAAAGTCTGTATCTACATTTACATTCTTTCTTATTTCCAAGGAAATCTTAAACAACTTAACTTGCCTCTGTAAATGATTTTGTCAAACAAAAGGCAATTAACTTATTGTTAATAAGCTCAAGAAGGTCAGAGTTGATGGGGATGGCAGAGAATAGCCCAAGATTCAGATCCATCATTTATGAGTTCTGTGAAATTATTCAAGGGCACCTAACAGCAATAGACATTCCTATGCATATGATATAACTGAGTTTGGTATACTATATTTCTTAGCACTTTAAAGAGGCCTCTTGGAGCATAATTGGCCAAAGCAATACATCCTTTGACTCTTGACTGCTGCTTCCAAGGACATTGATTTTGAATTCAAGTAAAAGAAAAAATCCTGTAAACTACAATCTTTTCTTCATTCGCATAGGTCATTTTAGGTCACAATATAGATCTCCTCTGGACAGTCGGCCTTCCAAAATTCTTGGCACTGGTAAGTCAACACTTCCAGCATTGCATCCACTTACTGAAACATCTTTTAACACTACTAACTCCTGGTCATATATTCCCTGAAAATTTTAAATGTCAATTACTCTTGCTTTAATAATTGTGAGTAGTTTTTCCATCTTCTTTTGTAGCTTCATAAATAAGTCAATATTTGCAAAATCTTGAATATTGTATCCTGAGACGAGACACTTTTTTCTTCAGCTCTTTTATCTTGAAAAATATCCCTAAGTTGTTTTTTTTTCCCCTTTTTGTTTTCCATCTCTAGGTAAATGCATGTTTCTTTATAACACTTGACTTCTCAAGCCACTCTGAAATTTTTTTCTCATTTTTTCATCATTTCTTCTACTTGATTTAGCTGGGGTTTTCAAAGGCTGTAAATTACACAGGAGGAGAGGGATCATCTTTTCTGCAAGAAACAGCAGGTGCATTTCCACCTCTTATCTTGGGCCCATTAGGCCACCAAATGCTAGCAGGTATATTTTTTTATTGTCTTTTTTTTTTTAATATTCAAGGGCAAGTTATTTTGCTCCTTCTGTCATCTATAGTAATCTTTTCTTTCACTCCTGTGTTTTTAATCACCTTTATTTTCTCTGTGTAGGATTTTTTATTAGATAAATTCAATGATGTATTCATAGCAAATACCTTTTTATTTTGATTCATATAGACTGTGTTTTATACAATCTTTTATTTATACTATGTTTCATACAATCATTCATACACATTGCATTTTATATAATTAATTGCCATTGATCTGTGTCTATTATCACACTGTTATTTCAAATCCCCATTGAATTTTTCCTATTCCTTTACTCCTTTCCCCTAATCTGCCCACTAAACTCTGTTATCCAGTAATTTTCATTCTTCCCCTTTTCCCCACAACTCATATAGTCTTTTTGGTCATTAATGTTCAAACCTAATGTTCTTGTAGTGGTGAAATATATTCAATAAAATACCCCAATTAGAGCTTTGTTTCCCAAACAAACCTGAGCAAAAAGAAATTGTTTCATATAGTTAATGTAGTCTCATTTTGGTAAAGCAAATTCTCACAGGAAAAATACTCATTAAATCTTGGCTGCAAAAATCTTTCCAAATAAATAGTAAGGAACTATACTTAACATTTAAGCAAATATATAAACAAGAAAACCACTATGAACAAAAATCATCATAAGCTAACTGATGAATAATACAAAACTCTATACACATTAGTTTTTTTATCCTTTGTTTTATCAATATTACTTTCTCTAGTTACCATTTAGGAAACCAGGGACATTTAAAAAGTCTATATCTACATTTATGTTCTTTCTTATTTTCAAGAAAATCTTAAGCAGCTTAACTTGCCTCTGTAAAAGATTTTGTCAAACAAAATGGAATGGTAAGGGAGCTCTGGTGGCCTAGTGGTAAGAAGCTGTGCGGCAATTCAGAAGGCATGCAGTTCAAATCAACCAGCTACTCAAGGGAGAAGGATGGACAATCTCCTCATGTACAACTAACTGCCTCTGAAAACCCACCGGAAAGTCAGCTATGAGTCAGTTCCTACTTGATGGTACACAACAACAATGGAGAGATATTGAATACTGTCTCAATATTTAGCAAAGAGTTTATAATATAGATGTCACAAGGCATCCTGACTTCTTGCCCACAATCTCTCTCAGCCATTGCTTTACTGTGTGCATTTAAAGAAACAACAGAATAACTTAAATTTATTTAGTAGAACTCACCTGTTGTCACCTTCTCTGGAGAAAAATACTGTGAAGGTTTGAATGTTCCCTTTTGCTTCGGCAGGTGGGCGCCAGCTGAGACGGACAAACCGACTGGAAACCAAGACAGGGACGACATCTCTGGGAGCAGAAGGAAGGACATTGGAGCTTGGGATAGCTAGAGAGAAAGAGACAAGGATGTCAAGGGCTTGCGCCATTGGTGGGAACTATGGAGGAAGGCTGAGATAACTCAACAGTAAACATCGCCATGTGGCATTTCACATGGGGTCTAGAGAAAGACAAAATCCAGGGGAAAGCAAACAGTTAATAGAATAATAAAAAAAAATCTGCCATTCCAAACAGGAGTAAAACTAGATAGTCAGAAGTAATGGAACTACCATAGATAATCAAATTTCTTCAATGCTTAAAAGAGTAGCTAATCAATAACATATGTGATTCCATTACATATAATATATAAATTCTATTTGTGCAGTTTTTATTACTTTTGGGATTCATGCCAACAAGAAAAATGTTTTGTTTAGGCAGAAAACAGGGAGAGAAATTGGGTAAATGTAGGTTTTTAACAAACATATGAATTCCAGGAAGACCTTTTTTTTCCCGAAGTTGGATAACATGGCTCCATATTACAAAAGAAGTATGTGTTTCGTGACTTTAAATCAGTAATAGGAATGTCATGAAAAAGAGGTATTTTGATCATGTAAAAGAAGGACAAAATTATCTAGTAATGAATTTAGTAATAAAATACTTTCTTGAATCCTTTCAAGAATTGAGCAGGTGTTAAACAAGTGAATGAATGAATTGCTGATACAGAAATGCATACATTTACATTTGAAGTAAAGGAATTATAATACAAATAATAAATTTTAATATTTTAAATATGTACTCAAGTGTAGAATGAACACTTAACCAAAGATAGCTCTTTAAATTCCTGGAAATGATCACAAAAAATTATAATGAATAGAAGTTTACCTAAGTTTTCTTTTTGTGGTAGAAAACTATCATCCTAGAAGTTTAATAAACAGTGAGATATTCTGATTTCTAAGAAAGAAAAAGAGATTATATTATAATTCTACTCCCCTAATTTAATACCTTCAAATATTGAACTCATGGCTAGACAAATTTGTTTCATATTGTTGTTGTTAGGTGCTATTGAGTATGACTCAAAGTGACCCTATGAACGACATAACTGAACGCTGTTCTGTTCTCGCTCTCTCTGACATACTCAAACCCAGTGCACCAGTCACTGTGGATGTTTCATCATAGAAAGTTGTAACTGAAGCACATGTATATAAATTGACACGAGTTTAATAAAACTGTAACTCACCCACTTACATTGTCGTTAAGTCAGAACCAAATCCTATCTGGCCCTCCAGTAGAGTTTCAAAAATGATCATTCATAAGTGCAGAGATTTCCCATCTTATTATTCAAATTATCCACCTTTGAGTTGGCAACATACCCAGTAAGTCACCAGAGCTCCATGAAACCCTAATTAGGAAGTCTTTACAAAATTCCAAATATTTTAAACAAAACCATGAACTTATGTAGATCAAAAATGCCTTAGGTTATCAAGTAATGGATATAAAACTTAGTTCCACTAACATCTGTTCACTGTTTTAGATATCATTTGAAGTACCTTGTTTGTATGTTTTCTAAGACCAGAGAAAGGTAAAAGCAATATTCTAAAAGTTGATTGACACTATCAAAAAGTAGAAACAGTTCTTACAAATTACCTATAAGACGATGAGAGAAAAAAGAGTCCTATAAGACCTAAAAATATGTGTTTATGTCAAGTTTGTGGAGTATTTGTATTATAGCAGACTTCAATGGCTGTTATTTCTAGGTTTTGTATGGGATTATTAAAAAAAGTATATCGTTTGAGTTTTCAAACATTTGGCATATGTATAACATATTTTGGAAAATTTCTACCAAATATACTCTATGTGGGGTGTATGTTGATGGTTTGTATGAGTGAATGTGTACATGTGTTTGCATTACTCACATGTACACACGCATGTGGAAAGAGAGGGAATTAATTTATAGTTCCTCTTTTCTGAATACTATTATTTTCTTCATATATATCCATGTCTCCAAGTCTAAAAAATAATCATTCATTTTGACAGAGATTTCTAGATAGTAAATATAAGTAACTGTTTCCCTACATTTAATAGTGTTTGGAAAGGAAGGTCTTTTTTAAGTGTTACATTTGTGTACATATTAAAATCATATGCATTGCATTTCATTTATATACATTGTGTTTCATGCAATCCTTCATTTACAGTGATTCACATTATCATACCCATACACTGTGTTTTATAAGACTAATCACCATTGATCCATGCACACTGTTAAACCAACTTTTCCGGTCCCCACTGGATCTTTCCTATCTAATTCCTTCACTCCTTGTCTTGCCCACCAAACTCTCTGACCTTCAGATTACCCCCCCATCCCAAGCCTCACCAACCCCTCTTCTCCCCCCTTGTACCTTTGGACTTTGGTACACATTTTACTAGTAATCCTAAAATTTTGAAAGATTAGATAGGAAACTAAGGTTACAGTGACTTTATGTTAATGGATAAGGAAACAATCAGAAAAGGAACATGAGCAATGCTGCACAACTCAAATATACAATCAATGTCACTGACTTGTATATGTAAGGACTGTGGAATTGTGTGTAGTTTATCTCAACAACAATGCTGAGTATGTATCTGATTAGTTATATCAGACTTCAGCTTTTTCATCTCAAGGTAAACTTGAACCATCTTATTAACTCCTTTTCTTCTTTATTCTCCTGCTAAACATTTCTCTTGACTTGGGTTTCCTATAAACAAAACCCCCAAAAAGCATTTAAGGCCAGACACTTCATTTGGGAACTGGTTTCAGAGAATAATTCATAGAGGCAGGGGTTGAGAAAAAGGATGGAAAGAGAGGAAGTATGTAAAAATTGAGTTCCTCATGGAATGATAACTGTAGGGGAAACTTCTACAGATAGGGACAATGGGAGTCAAAGGAGAATAAAACTCTTCAGAATTTCTAAGCTAAAACGTATACATTCGAAAGAACAAGAGGACAGATAGTTTTTAGACAAAACTAAGTACCTTGTGAGGGCTCATTTTCTGGATTTGAAAGCTTGGGACTAAAGTCTTACTGTACAATTGACAACAAAGTCAATTTTCATAATATAATTCACACTGTATATTCCTTTCGTTCATAGGTCACTATGAGTTTTCTACGACACGAGACACCTAACAACAATAACAATGCTACCAAGCCCAAGGTGGGTGATTTTAATCTGCGGCCCTCAAGCCTGGGTCATGTTGTTTTTTGTCAAACATTCTTCTAGGTGGTATAGCACTGGTCTGTGCATTGCTGTACAGAGGTAACTCGTGGTTGCTCTGGTGCTAAACACTATGACACTGATGTGCCAAGTGTGGTTATGGTTACCCATGGTGGACAGTGTTTGCTGGAGCTTCCTGATTAAACCAAGCTTGGAAGTAGGCGTGGCATCCACTTCCGAAATGGCTTGCCTCCGGAAACTCTATGAACAGTGCTCAGGCCTTTTGTTCATAGGGTCGCTATGAGTCATCTACGACTCGACGGCACCTAAGAACAACAACATATTCCACATATCATGTCTGAAGTCTTAAAAACTTGTTAGTGGCTATCTAAATCACAGCTAGGGTTAACTTTTATTCTCCATCAGAAAAAAAAAAGACAGACTCAAAGAAGGTAGTCTATAGGACTGACAGTATACACAAACCACAGCTTCATCTACTCTGAAAACCAAAGAACTAAGTAATACCCAGCTACTTACCAACCAACTGCCTGATCAGGACCATGACAGATTGATTCTGATAGGCAGGAAAAACTTAAAACAAAATTCAAATTCTTAACTAGCAAAACACAATACAAATTGTTACACAATCTCCATGTATTGGATCAGCTAAGACTTAAGAATTTCCTAGAACATACATTCCCATTCTCTGTTGGCCTAGTGGTAAGAAGCTGAGCTGCAATCTTAAAGGCACACTGTTCAAATCCACCAGCTGCTCTGCAGAGGGTCCACTATAAGTGGGTTCCAACTTGACTGTGACACCAATAACATGATGCTCTTTCGTGCTCTTTATAGCTGAAAAATGAAATTATTCCACAAGGTGATATATTTACCTAAATATCAGATGGGCTCAAAAAAGACTACCACAATTGAGTAAAGAAACCCTTTCAAATTCATCTACAGGAAAGCATGTGTTCAAAAATCACTCTAATGTAAAGATGAAAATATAAAGAACATGGAAGCGAGAGTATTGAAATGGTGCAATCAGTATGGAATACATGATGATGGTATGCATTTTGAAAAATATAACCAACATCACTTAACAATTTGTGTAGAAGTTCTTCAATTAGAAGACAATTTACTATGCAAATTTCCATCTTAAATATGAGAATGTACCATTAACTAAGAAGAAGAAAGAGAGTAGAAAGGAAATAGGAAAGAAAAGAAACAAACGTCTTTCCCTCAGGGACACCTTTTATATGATATGATCATAAGCAATAATGAGTCCATTTCCCACCCACTCAGAGATGACAAGAAAGAAATCATTGGGAATCTGTACCCAGATGGTCTCCCTCCAGGCTTTCAGAGTGCCTCCCCCCTCAGCTGGTCAACTCTTAGATGACACAGATAAAGTGCAGAATAGAATTATTCACACTTTCTTCTTCAATTTATACAGCTGTTATATGCAAAGGACAAGACACATTTTTAACAAAGGAATGGCTTTATAAGAGAATTAATATTGTTCTTACTAATCCTCCATGCTTTCTTTCAAAAGTAACTAGTCTTCATCTAAGGTTTCAATAAGGAACCAATCAAGACTTCTTTTCTTTGCTAGTGGAGGTCTAATCTCCAGTCCAGCCCTAATCTCTCTGGCCTATTATTGTTGCCATGGTTACAACTTCTTTATCTGCTGTCATGGAGAAGAGATGAGTTTGCCAACTTATAATAACATATATATTTTTTTAAAAAGAATATCTTTCAAAAATTTTATCACTATAAGATCTAGAAAAAGAAATCGTTTTTTAAAATAATGCAATTCCAGAGAGCAAATAATTTTTAAATAATAATGACACTTTTCTTCTGTACAGTAGAATATCCTTGGGTT